GGACAGCGTGTGTGGTCACGAGGAAAAAAGCTCCCCATGACTGCACCCCCTCAGGGCTCTGCAGAAACCCAGACCTGCCAGTTCCCCCTCTCAGAAGAAACAAGGGCAAGGAGTAAACTGCCTTTGAGGTTTGCTTTTTGAGGTCTTCACCAGCGGAGACTCCCGTGATGTGGCAGCTTGTTGGTCCAGCATTTGGGGATCTCTCCTCTCCTCTCCTATGGCCCAGCAATCCATGGCAGGAGGAATAAGTGTTGCTGCCTGTGGTGTTTTCCTGCCGTAGATGGTCTCTCTTAGGACCTGTCTCCCTGCCAGGACAGCAGAGAGATGGGTGGCACCTATGATGTGGTGACCTCATGAAGTCCCAGTGATGGAGGAGGCTCCTGAGAGGTGACTTTGTCACCTGTGCAGAGGGACAGGAGCCCTCAGCATGGCACAGTGGCAGCCTGGAGGGGTTGTGGGTTGTCTCAGGGCGATGCAGAGTGTGGTGGGATAATTCCCATGAAGGAATGTGTGTTTGGATCGGTGCTCAGCTCAGCAGAGACGGGGTGGGAGGGATTTCAAGGGTTGCGTGTGCTCCTCAAGGTCTGGGAGGAGAACTGGCAGGTGGGTGAAGGACAGAGAGGAGCAAACCTAATGTGCAGCAGGAAAACAGGGCTGGGTGAAGCCTCCCAGGCTGAGGATAATGTGGTGGAGATGAAGGTTGTGGGACCATCACAGCTGGAGTTTTCAAATGGCTTAACCACCCCTTTTTTTGGAAGGAGGGAGAGACAGGGATCTCCCTGAGCTCTTTTCCCACCATCTCCTCAGTGCTGTGATCCCAGTGTGGGTGTCTGCACCCCTCTCCCCCTGCTCATGCTGGTGTGGGGTCGGTCCTGTGGGGTCCTTACTGAACCCCATTCCACCCTTCTCCCTCCCGTCGCCAGGGCTCAGTGCGCTAAAAATCACGGAAAGGAAGGTGGCAGGGGAATTCGGGGCTGGCACGCGTGCGGGCGAGGTTTATTCACCCCGGGGCGGGCAGCAGCTTGGCAGCGCCGGCTTC